AATAGTGAAGCCGGAGCTCAAAGACAGTGTATGTACCTACACAACAGAAAAAAAATATAAAGAATCTTTATGAGAGAATAACAGTTTCTAAAAACTTCATCTCTACACTCTGAGATCAAAGTCAGTTATAGATCACTGAAGGTTTTTAATCAAGAGTGAAATTTGCTTTATAATGAAAGTACAAGCAGGAGGAGCAACTTTTATATTCATAATTTAATTGATCAGTCAGTCCTCACCTCCAAATACTTCCAACCACAGAGGTCTTGTAGTTAACGAGAACATGTGTGTGTTTCAGTGTGGACAATCTACCATTCAGCGCTGTCCTCCAGTCCAGTGGATCTGATATTTGGCCTGAAACAGGATGTCCTTCAGCTCGCGGGAGCTGGCCCAACAGACCAACAGCTGGTCGTCGAGGTCACCGACACGATTCACCTGCACATTGGCAGGAGGGTCTGTGGTCACTGGACGGACAAGAACACGCTTTGACAAGTCTGTGTATCACAGATTCACAGTATGTAAAGAAAGGAGACAGGAGACAACAATACTCCTGCAAAATTCTACAGAATTCAATAGCTTTATGATATTTAATTCAGGCTAGTATTTAAAAAAATGACAGTGTAATTCTGACACAGTTTTATATTGTTCAAACATGTATCATTTGTCATTAACTATTTATGGTTTCTTCTATCACTTGCACACATGAATGCTAGTTGACTGACCACAAAGAGACAGTTTTAGTCTGTAAAAACATTTGTATGCAGTCTTTGTCAAGAGAATAATCCTTAATATATTGTAAGGGTTATCTCAGAAACCCTGCACTGGTGTGAAGTTTAAGGAACATCTGCATTTATCAAACAGGAACGGTTAAAAATGTAGTTGCATCCAGTATTTTGGCACCTGACCAATAGTGGAGAAGGAAAAAGTCAGGAAGTCTTTGGTACTGCTGCTTCAATTTTGATCAGAAACCCTTTAAACTACAAAGTAATATGGGTCAATACAATATTTTGTTTTGGTCTACTTTATCACAGGGTCAAACTGTATGACCCCCAGTACACTTTAGTCATTCCCCATACGGTAGCTTGGGCAGGGATGTAGTTCTAATATACTGTAAATCAGTACATGCATACATTGAGAATATACTAGCCAGCTGTGACTAAAATAAACAAATAAATTAAACAATGAGCAAGTGACACACTTAAGTATTTTCAGTCTGTTCTTGCAGTTGAGAGCAAGTTGTGCCCTGACAGTCAGTATCAAATAAAACATTTTACCTAGTGCAATCAAGTGTATAAACAAACCCAGATGGAGGAAAAGATAATGGACGGAGACAAAGGAAGAAACTTAAATACCAATGTCTGCTATTGCTTGTACATCATAACCTAAATTTCTCAGCGAGAAACCTGCGAAGCCTTTATCTGAGAGGCATCTGCTGTGTAGTTAGCTTTTACAACAAAACTGTTCATCTTAGAGAGTTGCAGCCTGAACCTATAATGCTGTTACAGCAGCAAACCATAAAAATAAATCCCCTCTCCCCCAGAGACGTGTGTTAGCCAGATGCAAGAGAAGAGGAGAGGGAAAGACAGAACTGGGAAGGAAAGAAAATGAAGGGACAGAAAACAAGGAAGGGAATAAGTTGGGTTAATTAATCACCAGGAGTTAAAATAAGACCGTACAACTTCAGTCACCACTTACTCAACCACATCAAGGACGTCCAGGGTGGTGATGTCAGAGGTGGCAGAGCCCAGCTGATTGGTTGCCTCCACCTAGATCTCATAGGAAGTGAAGAGGGCGAGGTTGCGAGGGATATAGCAGACGTAACACTGCTTCATGGTGCTGTACATTTCACACGCCTTCTCTTCCCTGTACCACCTGGACACAAACATGACAAGCACCGTAACAAAAATAAACTGACATATGCTTCAGAAAAGGCACACTGGCGATTTTGACACAAGCAAAACAACACACTTCTGCCTCTTAGTAGTCGTCTGTGTTACAGGTGATAAGCTGTGTGGGTCACATGCTGTATGTGCATTTACTGCTGGTCTACCTGAGTGGTGTTGGGCAAGGTGGTTACCTGAGCTGCAGCAGGGGTGGGGCGCTCAGGCGCTTCATGTTGCAGGACCAGCATGTTAAAATGACTGGCTTTTCTGGAGGCACTGGTGGAAAACAGTTGAATGAAAACTAACATTTCCAAGAGACAAAAATACTCACTGCTTAAACATATGAGGATGCTAGCCTCCACTTACTGCCCACAAAGAAACAAGAGCCACCCAGGACGCGTCCGTCTGCTCCATGACACACCAGGTTGTCTCCAGACTGCTGCTGGGAGCCTTTCAGTTTGTGAAGGGTGACACTCAGGACGTTGGTGGACATCGCACTGTAGGTGGTGTCCCCACAATGCAACCAAAAGCAGGGACACACACAGATGCACACACCACCCATTGTCTCTTTCTTCTCCTTTTCCTCGGCTTGTTTATGTAATACACTGCATATATAATAGTGCATATTTCATGGTACTGGTGTGCAAAACTACTTTTTTATACAATTATAGTCTCCTAAACACTGTCTACCAAGTGTACACTGATTATGCATATTTTAAGCTATTATTAACAAAAATGCCAAATTCATCAGAGCTGGAAGATGCACTGAAGCTGCCAGTGTTCTACTAACAACACCACACCACCAAGTTTGATTACATTTATTCAAGTACTGTACTTAAATACAATTTAGAGGTATCTATACTTAAGTGTTTTGGTTTCCTTCTAGTTTATACTTTGACTTCACTACATTTTAGAGGAAAATGTACTTTTTACTCTACTATATTTACTTTGTAACTGTAGTTGAAACCAGATTAATACAACATTTACAGTATGATTGTAAGACTTTATTGATCTCTGGTGGAAAATTCACAAGCTACCCAGCACTAACTCATTTTATAAGTATATCCAACTTGCGTTGAATGCAGGATTTTACTTGTAAGAGAGTACTTTTACACAATTGTATTGCTACTTTTGCTTAAGTAAGGGATCTGTGTACTGCTTCCACCACTGCCCCTGGATTAGACTCTCCTGTATAACATCATACAAAAGGTTTAGGCCGCTGTTTTGCGGTGCAGTTTGTGTGCGCTGAACGCTGCCACTGAAGCCTGGGGTGAAACTCCCACAACAAAAAATCATTAGAGTCCAGATCTGTTGGCAACCATGTGCGTGTGAGGAGCACACCAGCAGCAGCACTGCACCACAGGAAAGCGGGAGCTCAGCGCAGTGAGTTTATGTAGTGTCTCAGTAGGATCATTCAGAAATGTCACCCTGCTCTGTTGGTAAAATCGGCAAATGACTTTCCATACTGAAAGTTTGCCTTCATGACTGATGCCCAGGAAAACGGGCTAACGCATTAAAAAGGACGTCAATGCGTATCGGCACAGCCGCGTTCCGTCCAACCAAGGGGTGAATCAGGTTGGTCTCCCTGTCTGGTAAAGTTTTATACTCACATGTCGAGGAGCTCAACACACGTGGAACCAGGAGGAGGATAAACAAGAAGGAGAGGACGGTTTGTTCACCTCCCCCATCCCCCTTTGTCCTTTTGGACTCCCCAGAGAAGAGTCGCGGTCGTTCTCGCATCAAATGTGCTCTTCGGTGAAACTTAGCAAATCACCAAACTGACTACAGAAACCTGCAGGAATCGCGAGCTCTGGTCCCCTATAACTCCAGACTAACTCTGGCTCATGCTGTTTGCTCCTCCCTTGTTTCCCCACACTCACAGGCCTTCAGTGCTCCAAAGTTGATCCCCTCCCAGACCCCCCCGCCCCGACTGCCTACACACAAATCTCGGCATAACATAACACATTCCAATAAAATATGAAGTGCAAATTTGAATGACCTGTACTTTACACGAGTTTCTTATACTTTTCCTCCACCAGCTCCATGTGTGCTTCTTCTCCAGTGTATTATCTTCTATGAATATTATAAAGCATGAATACATGATGAAGCCTGTATGTTTTACATGCAAAATAAATCTAGAAACTTTTAGAATTATCCAACAGTCTCCAAATTGCCTCGATCAGCTTCAGCATTAAATTTCTAATAATATAACGAGTAGATAGCCTGTTTACTTGTTCACTTTCACTACTGAGGAGACTACAGCCAGGATCTAAGATTTTCTTTCACTATGTAGCCTATATTATTTATTAGCACTTTATTTAATTGTTTGTTGTTGTTGTTCTGAGCTCTCTCTACATATAGTTCTTATCAGTTGGCTCATTTCTCCTCGGCTCTTTAACAATGGACAGTTAACCGTGACCCTGACTACATGATGCTGTCCGGACCATGTGCTCTGTGCAGGACAGCTGCCACTCCGCCCTTATCTGCTACGTTTTAATGAATGGCATCACTGCAACATTATACACTGCATTGTTGGCTGCTCGTAGGTGTGTGTACGTACGTGCGTGTGTGTTTAGAGGGGAAACGTATGCGGATGATGATGATGATGATGATGATGATGGTGCGTGACGCCACCAACAGAAGCAGATCAACGGAGCAGACAGGACCCGGGCTGAGGCAACAGCAGCATCCCCACCAGTAACGCCGCCACAAAGGGAGCTCAGTGCTGCTCGAAGCTCGACTCTCCGCTCCTCTCTCCAGGGTTTGAGATGCTCCGGCTCGGCGGCAGGATGTGCGGCTTCTCGGCCCTGCTCTCGGTGCTTCTTGCTGGGCTCGCTGCGACGTCCTCGGATCTGTTTGACAACCAACTGGGCGACATCAATTACTGCAAAAAGCAATGTCAGCTCTCCATCAAAAACAAAAGCCCAGCTAAAGTAAGTCATTCCTATGTGATATAGATCAGGCTATTTCTGCAGAAAGCGCTTCATCAGCAGCGAGCTCACAGCTACATCCTGCTGCCTGCACCGAAATGTAGACTAACAAAATTCATTCAGCATCGACAGAATCCCGCTATTTTAATATTGAAATAAGGAACATAAATGTGTTTATGCCTGTGCATAATGACAGACACCATGCTGGCTTTGATTTTTCGCTGCATCCTCTTGGATGCTTCAGCGCATAGTTAGGCCGAAAAACGGATGCAGCACATTTCCATCTGCACCTTAAAGACTAGTTAAAGAAGTGAACTGCATTCCAACTTATATTAAGCTGCACTTGCAATAAACTGCGCAAATAATTAATAAATTCTTAATGCGCAATTAAGGTCCGCTAGGCCAAGTGTATAGTGTACACTAGGGGGGATCAGTGAGACTACTGGTAACTATGGAACAATGATCCTTTCTGGACAGTTCACACAGCATCGCACTGCTCAGACAAGGCCACATTGGAGCGAAGCAGGTTTGGAAACGATGGCTGTAAAAATCTGTGACTTTCTGTGATTTAGAGCCTTGTCTAGATTTCTGTCGAATCGTTTTTCCTCCCACCACCACCACCTCCTCCTCTTCTGCTGCCTTCAGGTGTGGTTCAACATCCTGCAGAGCAGCAGGAGCAGAGCCGCAAAGCGAATCGCAGGTGTCGTTTACCCCAGTTTGAACATAGAGTCTACAGTTATTATATCTGACAGTAACTGCAGAGTTGTTGAATAAGCAGGCGCCTTCAAACTATGACTCTCTGCTCCTTGTGATCAAACAGGGAAAGGCAGTAAAGATGATAACAGGCACAAGGCTGTAATAACCCGTTCATGGTCGTGATCGGGGATCTCTTTGTTCTACTGTTCTCAGAGAGGTCAGCAGAGGGCGCTGTTTCTTTACTTCGCAGTGAGAGTGAAGGCATTATGACAAAAGAAAGTTCAGTAATGTGCAGCTTCCTCTCTCACCACCTGCACGTTTTATACAACCGGCTCTTTGTAAGTGGTTTTCCTTTACAGTGACAGAAAGCTTCATATCAACTGTTCGTGACAGGCTGTAATAGGACAGTTACACCGTGTCATTACAAGATGTGATAACCAATCTTTGTCATGTTTCTGAACAATTTTATCTTGAGTTTATCCAAGAGTGCAGGGGAAATGTCTGTTTTTTATTCTCCCCCGTCTGACTGGTAGGACTCCATAATGAATGCCTGTCATCGCGGCTGTCGCCTTTATTCCATCTGCCAGTTTGTCAATGGCAACGCCGGCTTCAATACCAGCAGGGAGGAGTGTCAGGGAGGTGAGTCAGTGTGTGGAACTGTCTGTTGGACTGTTTGTCTGAAGGAGTCTGAGCATCTTGTTGAAGAGGCTGAGGCCAGTGTTAAAGCTGCTGAGGCTTTAATCCTTATTATGCTGGATCTAGTGGCAGTGGACTGAGTGCTCATAAAACTAAATCCTACATGATGTCATGAATTTGAACCTCACTCTACCTAGTGCAGCTTGTTTCTGGTACTGTTGAATCATCCTTTCAACAAGACATGTTGAAAGGATCTGTCATGTCACTGATCATTTGAGGTGAAATCGAAAAGATGTTCTCAAGACAACAGCAGATAGCAGCTACATTATTTACACATGATCATCACTGCTCAACATTAGAATGTTGGACGCAACATCTCTGTCAAACATGGCTCAGTTTTCTGGCTATTTTTTGGCTGTTTGAGGCTCCTCTCTTTGTTTGAACTGTTGTATTGGAAATCATTGTTGTGATTTTCTGCCCAGACAGCAGATGCCACACTGCCTCCTGTTTCAATAATGGCAACATGGATTGAATCATCTCTCCAGGGGCCAACAGATACAACATCTACCTTGCAGCTTTATCTTTCATCCCACATAAACAGCCTGTGTCAGTTTTATTTCTGCTTCTCTATGACCTTTCTAGTACTCCACAACTCTGTCCACTCTCTTCTTTCTCTTGCCCTTCTCCCATCTGCAATCTCAACTCTTTTTTGTTCTTTGCCTTTTTACCATGCTTCACAACTGTCCCCCTCCCTCTCTCCAGCCTGCCAGGAGGCATATATAAAGCTGCTGGAGCAGGAGGCCTGCAGCACTGGCTGTGCCAGCCAACCCTCTGAACCTGAGATTAAGAGGAGGAAGGTGAGAAAGGCCGCTCTCCAGTCAGCTGCTCACACACATACAGTACAGTCCAGTGTGACAAGTGTGTACACAATCTAAAACACATACTTTTCCTTGTAATTTAGTGTCCTGCCCTCTCTTCTGCAGCTGAAGGCCATGACTCTCCGCCCAAAGCCTCCCTCTGTGATGGAGGCTGTGTCCAGTTGGTGCAATGACATTGTCAGCTCTGCTCAGAGCTTCATCTCCTCTACCTGGACCTTCTACTTGCAGGCCGATGATGGCAAGGTTGTGGTTTTCCAGGTAAGGCTGAACTGAGTGTGTCCTTCATAGGCATGCTTTGCATTTTGGGACTTGGGTAGTGACTTTTTATTGTTGGTTAAAACAGTTTTTCTATAATCTGCCAGTTCTAAGTTTAGTGTTTGCAGATGAATGGTTGAAAGTTATATTCAGCATGTATTTTTCTAGTCTTTGTACTATGTTGCATGAAACAGAATTAATTTGAGAGTCAGTTGCTGTAGCAAAGATTCTACTTGCAAGGGTTTTTTAAACTCAGTCTTGTGAGTATTTCAACTTAGAATATTTTTGCTGAGTGTAAGGATGATGATCTGCAAAGCATACAGACAAATGTGTAGATGCTATCCTCGTGTCCTATATATGGCCCACTGAGCCATGATGGTACAAAACAATAAAATTAATATTTACAATACTTTTTCATGTTTTAATTGCAGGGTAAAAGCAAGCCCGCAGGACTTTATAGAGTACTGGTTGAGCTTTGTGTTAAGATTGTGGAAATATATCCTGTGCAATGCAGTACCATAGAATCTGGGTCATTGCCATCACATCTCCCACCCCGTTTAAGTGTCAGTGCATCTGTGAAGGTTGAGTGAACAAGGGCACAAAAGAGGATGGGGAAAAGGTGTCAGAAGTGAGAGTCCTCCAAATGTAATGACTTTAATTGTTTAGAAATGCTCTTTTAAATGATGTCGCTGCCCTCAGCACCACGCTGGGCTAGCTGGGGTGAACTCACCTCAGGACAGACGCTCGCTTTACGATTTAGGCAAGAGCAGACTGTGCAAAAGAATAAAGTTCTGGCTGTGACAAATAAATATTCAGATGTTACATGAACAAAATAAACTGAATGGACTTGACAGACTCTTGTTCATGTCACCACTTGATTATCCCCATCAAATGTAAGTGTATTTGTTAGTGGGAAATCTCCAAAATTATTAAAAGGTTATTTTAGATGCATTATATTGCTGATACAGAATGTCTTAGCATTAGAAATTAAAATAATTATTGGACAGTTTCACTTAATGTATCCCCCAGTTATCTGTCACTTTGTGTATTTTGGTGCAGATCTGGATCCAGATGCAGATTCAGCATTTCTTTACATTTACTGTTACTGCAATAGAAGGTTTGTGCAGCCTTGGAAGAAGTGTATTTTCCAGCCAAACTTGAACATAGTCAACGAAGTACACCACTTATACATTAAAGCTATAATAAGATGTGGCCTCTCTAACCACCAGACTATGCAATCGTATCCTCCAAATTTTAAAAGCTGGTCACAAACCTGCATCTCTGTCAAAGGTTTTTCTGTTTCAATAATGTGACTTTGATGGCAATTTTAGCTGCATAATTAAAGGGCTCTGTGGGAAACGGTAGTATTTATGCACTGTAAAACAGAAGACTCTTCTATATGTATGGTGAAAATCACTCTTAAGTATAAGAAGCTGTGTGCAGGCTGTGATGTGAGGCTCCTCTTCATATATATAGATGCTGCTGCCACAGAACATAAAATTACCAACATTCTTTCAAACTTGGTGATGGATGTTTGCTCTTTATGGCAGTGACACGCAGTCTGAAGCAGTGAGAGAGGGGCCAGGCTACATGGGGCTGTGAGAAGTCTATCAGGCCTGTGTTTAGTGTTCAGCTGCAAACTGCCATCAACTTGACAGATTGACTTTTCCCATTGTTGAAACAACAGAAAAGTCAACCTAAACTGAGATACAGTAGGCAG